ATACACGATAGTGAAAGAGAGAGTGCTCCAACAGAGGATGATAGACGTGACTCGCGTAATGAAACACGACGTAGGAAAGAAATATGCTGTACAGTTTTAGTATTTTAACACTTGACATTTGTCAGTATATATGATAAATATATATTTTAGTTATTTTAGTATGTAAAGACAAGGCATGCAATGAATTAGTTTGTCGTGGATTGGATCAGCACCTGAAGATGGCACATTGGTGCCGAAACATGTAGTGAGAGTGAAAAGAGGGGATATGTATGCACTAGAAGACGGATAAAATAAATCATGGACTTAAATCAGTGCAACAGGACGCTAAAATATAACATTATTTATAAGAATATTTGATTCATTACGCCACAGTTATTTTGAACACTGTCTGTTGACTGAAGTACACTCGATAACCTCATCTGAAATGTCTGTGTTGCTTGTTCTTGTCAGAAACTCATTTATTAGGCATATTTCTGCTTATCTACTATTGATTATGATTGATAGTTTGATTCCAAGGACTCCTTGCTTCCCCTTCTTCTTTGCCTTCCTCTTCCTCTTCATTTTCTTCCTCCCCTTCATCATCTTCCTCTTGACTCCTCTACTTGCTTCCTCGTTGCCCCATCTCAGCAGACTGGCTGGCTGAGTCTGGCAAGCTGTGACAGGCTTGTCCACTTACAGGATACAGGTAAACATACTATTCCCTCTAAAGACATCCAAAGATATTTCTGCTGTCTTAGCTTTCAAATGTTTATGGACTTTGGATATCCTGTCACATTATACACAACAATGGCACATAGTTGACTGACATACAGGGTGTTCCACGACTTTAGGGCATAACTGCAGTAGGTGATTTCCTAGGTCTTTGTGATCAAAAAAGTTCATATAAACATGTGTCCTATTTTGGACGGTTATGGAGTTAGGCCGTTTTTTCATTCCCGTACACGCCCTCGTGTGAACTGCGTCTGTCAGCTGTCGGGTCGCTATTTTTAGCCAGCTACAGACAGAGCATTCTCGTTATCTCGACACTTGAGATGTACTACCTAAGGCGGGGTGGGTTGGTATGTCTGGCGCGGTTCACAACTAAGCGGCAGCCTGTGTTGCGGCCAGCGGTGTCATTTTCGAAAATGAGCTTTAAGCACCAATAAATTCAAATTAAAGGAAATTTCACGAAGTTAACTTTACATTCATACTTTAAATGTATCATGTATTATGCTGGTTTATTATTTTGTTCCGTTTATTGTCAGTATTCATTTCCTTCTATTCTGAGTTTAAAATGGTCATAACTCCGTAACCGTCCAAAATCGGACACATGTTTATATGAACTTTTTTGATCACAAAGACCTAGGGAATCACCTCCTATAGTTATGCCCTAAAATCATGAAACACCCTGTATATTCACCCTGTGTATATTGGTGATGGTCATAAATAGACCTGGAACCCTTTCCGTACTAAGCTTTTATGATAACTGGTATATCTGGTGGTCCAGTGGTCAGCATTCAGGTATTCAAAGAATTCGGGGTTTGTCCAACCGTTGCAACTAATCTTGGTCACTGAAAAGAATAATTAAAAAAAGTATGTCATAATGATAACAGATATAACAAAGTGCTGAGGAGAATACTTTGACCTGAGAAGTAACAAGTAAAAAGAAGCAAATAAAACGTTATAATGATGAGCTTCATAATTTGTGCTCTTCAGTAAATATTATCAGGGTGGTGATATCAAAGAGGATGAGATACACAGGTATGTAGCACGCATGTGAGTTATGAGAAATGTGTATAACAATTTAGCCACAAAATTTTAAAGGGAGAAATTACTTGGGAGACTGAAGAGTAGATGAGAGGATGACGATATAACTGTGTGAGTTTGGCATGTAGCATGGGAGGGGGTTGCATATGTCTCTGGTATTATCAAAATATTGAGACTCCCCATATTGTGGAACATTGAAGATACTGCTCAGCTGTCATCAAAGGCTGCTGTTATGCAGGCATTTCAAGGAATTTCCCGAATGGTGACAGCACCCATAAAGTTGATTTAAAGCCTGCAGAAGGGTTCGTGCAGTGCAGTTGTGTGCTTGTCATTCTATCTTCTGTTAAAATGAAAACCAGTCATCTAAAGACAAGAGCGGAGCCAACTTTAGAAACACAATTTGTGTCAAATTATCAAATGCATCTCACACAGTAGAGGATAACAGTTGACATGTTTGGAATGTAACTAGCCATTTCTACTCTGACAGCCCTTGGTCATCCCAATTACTTTTTCTCTTACAAAACAAAATTAAGAAATAGCACATTGCCTAACATAACAAGCCGAAGGCAAAACATATAACAACCTTTTTATTTAATCTTTTCAAAGTATTGCTGTATCATATAATAAATTTAAATGTTTCCTTAGCATTTAGCTGTCCCAGATCTGAGTCATGAGGAAAAAATCATTTATATTTGAAGAAATAAATAATATAAAGATATTCCTCTCCTTCTTTTATTCTGTTTTGTTCTTGTCCCTATTCATTTGCCCTCTTCTTCCCCCTTTTGCTTCTCTTTTGTTTCCTTCCCTTCTCTTATCCTCCTTTTTTCCTTACTTTGCAGTTTTCTATTTTTCATTAGTCGTATTCATTTCTTATTTTTCTCCAATTTATTTACCTCCTCCTCCCTCTCTTCCTTCATCTCTTTTTTATTCTCTTGCTTATTTTTCTCATTCTCCATTTTCTTTTCTTCTTCTGCTTCTGTCTGTCCATACCAAGCAAGCTGAATAAAGTGGTAGCACTTTTGGCTTGTATTCGGGACATACCCGATTTAAGATATCAGCTATCTTGATTGAAGTTTCTTGTGGTTTTCCTCTGCCCTTCAAGCAAATGGCTGGGTGATACGTCAGTTAGACGTGTCCTTCCGCTTCATTACTCACAGTCGTCGTACTGTTTGATGCTATGTAATCCAAGATACGGACTGTATTTAAATAAGGTGATAATCTCTGCCAGTCTTCTCATTTACCTGCTAGCACGAAAGTATATCGTGATTCAAGATGTGGAAGTGATGCATTTATTTTCCAGTGCAATTTTTGGACATGTTTATCAGCCAAATGGATGCCAAGCATCAGTATATTCATGTGATCTCTCTCTACCAAACCTTGGGGAACATTCTGACTCCATACCTCAACATGTTATGCTACGATTTTCAGGTACTAGTAGTATACCAGTATTAATTCTTTTGGTATAAGGTACTGACAGAAATGCTGATACCATAATATTTCCTAGTCTTTTGTAATAGAACTAAACAGACTCATTATGTTTAATAGTTAAACATGAAGATTCAACACTACTATCACCAACACTCATCACTGAACATGATCTTGAGCCAGTTTAATCGTTTTCCATCCTTATAACCTAATTCTGTTGAAATACATCTTAATGTTATCTTCTCAGTCTTCCAAGTGTTTACTTTCCCCACACAACATCATAGCTACATGTCTGAATTGCTGTAATGTCATTACTAACAAAATGTCACACAGCATTTTACCGTGTGGTGGGATTCGTTCATGACGTCATTCTCTTAACCCTGCCAATTCTGGGTAGTATTGGGAGCCTATTTTATATCCTTTGGGGGCTTAGAACTTTTTAAGACGTCAAATGTGACTGGAAAATTAGTTCAAAGTACAAACGTTTGGGCACTAAATGATGTTTTTATCCTCACATATGCATCATTGTTATCTATATATTCATCCTGATTAATGATCTGGAAAGGAACATATTTTATTGCAAATTACCTAAAACGAATTTTCTGCGTAAAAAGAGGTGCCATAAAAAGCCGAAAATATTGGCGTTATATGAGTTGATATCAAATGACTGCCAAGCTTCATGAAATTTTTTAGATTTTGCAGTTTACTTCTAGCATCATTGGTGTGTGTTTAATATAACAGAGCTATCCAGAACTACTTCTGACTTTCATCTGATGTCTACTAAGTAGTCACAGTAAGTTTATATCTGCATTCTTGGGTTAAGCAGCTGCCTTATATTTTCTGTTCTCTCTAGCTGGAAGAAAGAACTACACAGCGAGTCTTCACACCCTACCTAATAATATCCCTACTCTCTATGGAGGTCGTCCATGGACTTATGAAGCTGGCATATTTTTATTCCGATGTACTCTCAATGACAAGCAGGGAGCTGGAACGGCTGTCTTTTGGTACAGGTGAGTGTGTGATTGAAGAAGGATTCACATAGTTTCTTCAGATTAAAATATCTAGTAGATGCTGTAAGACAGAGCAACAAAACTAATCGAGACTTACAGATTACATTGTAGCTCTGTTTTCCTTTCTTAGACTAGAAATCTGTGTGGCTTGAAAGTAGGTTTTATGAGCTCTGTTTTTTTTTTTTTTTTTTTTTTGACATGTTGTTTCAGTATGAGCTGTCTTTGTTGCTTGGGATACATTCGACCTGCAATTTGTCTGTTGCTATATATGCTATTGTATCATGGATAACTTCCAGTATTATTCTTTGTAACTGTTGTAGAAATGTCACTTTTTATGAGACAATTTTGTACTGTATGTAACCCAAAGATAATAAATCTAACTGATTCATATCAGGTGAATGTGATGCCAAGGAAACAGTTTTCCTGTAGCCTTCTACAAATTATGTCAGCACATCCCTCAACCTTTGAACAAAACATAATTTTCAGGCATGAACAAATGCACATTACATTTTTATTGTATTTTCTGCACTTCTGTGCTCATAAATGCATTCATTCAGTGGATGGACTCTTGTATTATTATGCCCATTTATGATTCCCAGACATGTGAAATGTTTCTTCGTATATATGTATGTGGCAAAGCCGCATTATCTGTCAACTTTATTGTTGTTGTATTGATATAATACACTGAAAATAAAGAAATAAACTGTCACTTGCAAGTCATGATTTGGTTTTTTGTTTTTTCTCAGAATATTCAATGAATGTATACATTTTAACCAGCAGTATGGAAACCCCACGCAGTTAAACTTTAGCCTCTCTAGGAAACATTAGATTTGAACACTAATTGCAGAAAAAAAAATATGTAGGGGACTTTAATGCCGAGATTATCAGCATGTAGTCATTGAAATTGAAATGAGTTTGGCAGGGCATGTAGAACAACTGGGACAGAAGAGAAATATATTCAGAGTTTTGATAGAAAAATCTGAATGAAACAGACCACTTGGAAAACTAGACATAAATAGAAGGAAAATATTGAAATGGAGCTTAGAATTTTAGCCAGGCAGAATGTGAAGTAGATCAATCTGGCTCTGGATAGGGACCAGTGCTAGGNAGCAGCTAACAGTTGTTAATTTAGTCAAGAAATAATGTTATATTTTAGCGTCCTGTTGCACTGATTTAAGTCCATGATGTATTTCAACCGTCTTCCAGTGCATACACTCATCTATCTCCTCCTCTCTCTCGCACTACATGTTTTGGCACAAAAGTGCCATCTTCACGTGCTTATTCGATTTACGCTGAACTAGTTCATTGCATGCCTAGTCGTCTTCATATTAAAATAACTAAAATATATATTTATCATATATATTGATAAATGTTATATGAAGACAACTAGGCATGCAATGAACTAGTTTAGCGTAAATCGAATAAGCACCTGAAGATGGCACTTTTGTGCCGAAACATGCAGTGCGAGAGAGAGGAGGAGATAGATGAGTGTATGCACTGGAAGACGGTTGAAATACATCATGGACTTAAATCAGTGCAACAGGACGCTAAAATATAACATTATTTCTTGACTAAATTAACAACTGTTAGCTGCTCAAGAAGGATTCTGCTCAAAAGAGCTAGTTAGTCAGTCAGTCAGTCATTTAGTTAGTTAGGTGGTTATCAGTGTACAACATTCAGAATTGCTGTTTATTTTGACCAACTGAAAGCAAGAAATTCAGAATTTTTTATTATTATTTCACTGAAATGAAAATACATTCTTTCTTGCCTTAGTCATTTGAAGTCCAAAAGTTTACATCAAATACTATGTTCATAATAAATCCAGTTGCTCTAACTTTTATGTTCATAATAAATCCAGTTGCTCTGACTTTCATACATTTTGAAGAATAATATAATATTTCACAAAAACCGTTTTTACTCAAAACTCTTGCAGACAGAGTAGAGCCTTACTCCAGTCAGCCCCACAATTCTGAATGAAGTTAATAAAACTTTTTGTCTGGGTGTTATTGCGTCTGTTGTCTGAATATGATGCCAATATTCTTTATTTATTCTGATTACTATGACCATGTTTATACAGAAAAAGTTATGTGCTGTCATGCTATTTTAACAGGTACTCTGGTCCATCTCCAGCAGTTATGCCACTTTCATTACCTATTTTGAAAGAGCCACACCTCAGAACTGAAAATCTCTTCCCTTTGGTAGTAGATTTAAAGGATAGAGAGTGCAGCTGCAGTGCACTGGTTGGAGGAAAAGGATCGGCCCTTGCACTCATGACTTCTCTTGACAAAAACCAGGTTAGCATTAACAGACACAGTTTGTGTTATTATTATTGCCATCATCCACTGATGTGTTCAACAGACTGGATGATGTTATGAGAAAGCCTTTTCAATTCTTCTTTATCTTGTCTCAGCCACTCCACACCTGTCTTAGTCCAGTTTGCCATGTGAGAAAAATTAAGTGGTTACTTTTCTGATCAATTAACCTTTAAGAGCTTAATGTCACCGTATGGCGTCATTTAAAGTATAGCCGAGTGGCCGTGCGTCACTGTATGGGTACCCGCAGTCCACGCGTGTGCACACTGTTTTAAAATCTTATTTTAAGATAGAAATTCTTGTTCTACTTATATTGTTGGACACGCGCTTTATAAGTATACAGTCTTCCCTCCTGCGTCATCTAACTGACTGCAGAGTCCGACGTCGCAATTCATGCACTTTGCCTGGATGTAACACACGACATCTCAGTCTCGTATTACAGGAAGACGGTCAGTGATGTCCAGTGGCCTACTCTAATCATAACGCTTATAAAAAATATAAATTTCAACTATCCACTATGGCGTCATTTCGCATGGAAGAAGCCGAAACTGAGAGGCAGCTGATATCGGTACACGATTCTGAAATTGTTGAGGAAGCAAGGGGCTAGGCTTGAACGTTAGGCATGGCGTCACTGTTCTGAGAACAGCATCTCTGTGTGGCAATCCGAGATATAAACAGAGTTACTGAAGGACAAAGTAGCCATACTCGTTCATACAGAAAGGTTCTGATATGACCACTCAAGAATGTGCAATACAAAGAAACTCCCTCTCCTTTTGCCAGATAAGATAAAGTGCCAGTAAGAAGGATGTTAGCAGCATGCATCTATGCTGCAGAAAGGTTTAGTGCAGTAACTTTATGCATATTTGTGGACAGACGCTAGAAATTGAGGATTTTTTTTTAATCAGTGTAACAATTTTTACACATTTTAAAATCTGTAAATTACAATAACTGATTCTACATTCTTTCTAGATAAAAGCAGCGTTTATTTTATTCGTTTATCACAAAAGTTGTAGAAATCACAGCATTTTTAGTAACATAATTACAATTTTTATTACTCTATAATGGCGGGCATTTAAATTAACTCTGGCCCGCCGCCATTATTGGAATTTTAAAAACCCGTCTCTTAAAGGTTAAGTGACACTGCCGTAATCTTAGATTGTATAGTGGCAAATGGAAAGATGATTAATGAATGATGTGATGGAAGGGATGTAGAAGGAAATGGCCTGATTTTAAGTATCTTCCAGCATCTTCCAGAGGGACAAAGGAGAACCGTGAAGATCCTTGACCAGGATAGTCAGCATCATGGTGGAAATTCGAACTCAGAACCTCCTAAATGCAAGAGTCACAAGTGCTACCACTTGAGCCAGTTTCTTTGGTCAAATAAGAGATAAAATCTTTCCCATTCTTGCAGTTCTTGTTCTTTGGTTCTGTAAGATTCCTATGTAAAATAGATTATTTACTACCTTGTTCTCTGTTACTTTCATACTAGCATAGTAAATCATTTGTTATATTGTAGAACACAGAAAATTGATCTAATAATTGGTTGGATGGATCTCTTTTTGAATTATACTGTACCAGCCGAAGTAGTCATCACATTATATGAGAGGATTATTTGTTCAGTGAACTTGAATGGATTTGGGAGAAGATTCCGGAATTCAGTTGGATTGACTGGTGAAACCCACACTAGATCTCAGACAGGCCGTTAGATTCCAGCCAAGGTTTGAAACAGGCACCTCATGAATACAAGTCAACAGCATTGCCACTTGTGACAACTTGAAAGATTAACTTAATAAATATAATAAAAAATTGGATAGTAACTAGCTCAATGGCACAGAACCTTCCTTCAGGGCTGATACTTGTAGCTGCTCAAGAATTTGCTTCTGTTTACCATTACAGTTGTCAGCTGTAATTCCCCCTGGCTTCTGTGTCACAGTGGCAGCCCTGGAAATGCAGATGCAACAGAATAGTCAACTGCAAGGTGCTGTGGCAGCACTGCAATTTGAGTGCTCTGCAGGCAGAGAACTTGGTGTTATTCAGGAGCAGTGCACCAAGTGAGCGAATGGTGTCCTGTAATTGGATAGCTTTACATTCTCATATCTGCAGCCTAACTGGATTCACAGTGGACTCATGTGTACTGCTTATTCAGTGCTGTCAACACCTCAAACTCTTCATGTAACAAGAATTGGAGTGTAATCTCCCGATTCAATTACGCATATTTTTATGTTATATTTTTATTTTTACGCATACCTCATAGACCTTGATATATGTGCATGCTGAAACAAGATCAATATTGCCAATATATAAGATTTGAGGCTTTCACGGCGGTGACTATGAAGAAAGCAGTCTTCTGGGATTTGGCACCGTGTATATGTGGTGTTAACCGACGTTTCGGAGGAACGTATCGCCCCCATCTTCAGGGTAGAAGAA